ACTTGGGGTTCTGTTACTTAGGGGGAGAAGTAACATTGCTGTTGAGTGGGCAGGCAGCTAGCAGTCTCTGTCAGAGAAAGCTGCCTTTAATAGCTGTGACATAAACAATAATTCACTCAACTCTCTGTGACCCTAGGCAGGTCCCTTTACTTCTGTGAGCTTCAGTACCTTCATTAAAAACACACAAAGTCAGACCTACATGGCTGCTCAGCTGTGTTCCATGACGCCCCTGGAGGCACCGCGGAAGTCAACAGGAGCAACGCGAGCTGAGACGGGAGAGGACCCGAGCCAGATCTGATCCTTTTTATCTGGTTTGTTACGTACCTCGGTGCTCCATGGCCAGGGGAGAAACTTCAGGAGCGAAGGTGGAAAGTTTCTGAGAGAAGCAAATTGGACAGGTTATGTAGGCTCAGGGTTCTGTGGTTCAGGAGACAGAGGGACACATTTCTATAATTCTGAAAAGCCAGGGAGGTGTCAGAAAAAAGGCTTGGTCATACTTTTGTGATTTGGTAGCTAATCAGACATCATTTTCTAGACTCAAGGATACTAGAATATTTGTCCTCAGGGCTGGAGTGAAGAGAAAAATGAACTTCAGAATAAGATCCAGCTTGTTTCCTTGCTCTGCGATTTGCTGTTTGTTACTCGGTCTCTCTGAGCCTCAATTTGCTCATCTGTAAAATGGGGATGATAAAGCCCACTCTGAGGGCTGCTGCGAGAATTAAATGTAATCAAGTATGTGAAGCTTTGTGGGCTCTGAGGAAATGTTAGTCTACCTCAATGTCATGCGCTCTTCAGAGGGTCCCACACCACCTAGAGGTTAAGGATTCCCAAGGTTCAGGATAAAAATGATGGTGTTGGGACTCTGGGCACTTCCCCGAGCGGGGCCTGGGCAGAGCCCTATTCCATGGGCTTGGTGTGCTTTATGATGTGCGTGCAAGGTCAACCGAATCCCACCGCCGTCATTCACTTTCTCCCCTCAGTCTCCATTGTTTTCTCTCTTTGCTGGAATTGTGCCCTTACCATCATTTCCATTATGTCCTTCCTGCTTTACAGACAAGAACCTTGGCCTCATCTACACAGCTGCCTGGCTTTTCTCCCCACCTATGCCCTCCTGGCTCCCTGTGAGCCGGTTGTGCCAAATCTCTCCACCAAATCTGTGGCCTGAACCTCCCTAGTTCCTCTGGCTTCCTGAGGTCAACCTTCACGCTAACAGAGGAGAGCTCAGTGTGTAGGTCTAAGCGACACGTGAAGTGCAGTGTGTTCCTCAATATTTCCGAGGACCTGTCCCGCCTCAGAGAGAATATGGGTATGTGTACGTCTTTCAACTCCTGCTGTTTTTTTTTTTCTTCCAAACTGCTCCCATCTCAGCCCCACTCCTGGGGGGCTGCCCAGCTCTCTCATTTCCACGGGCCCCACTCATCCAGTGGCACTGGGTAAAAACAATTCTTATTAAAGCTACTATTATTAGAGTCTGCGGGGTGTGGCAGACTTGTCTTGTCTCTCCCTTCATGATGTGGCTTGTTGACCCCTCAGCCCCCAGACGACTGCCCGACTGCCCTGGGCCGCCATCACATCACAGTCTCCAGATTTTCCTGCCACCCCCGTGCCTCTTCTTTCCGTCTCCTCCTCTTCTATCTTTCTTTTAAACAAACTTTTATTTTAAAACAACTTCAGATTTATAGAGCTCTGTTGCACAACAACGTAAATATACTTACCATTACTGAATTATACACTTTTAAAGTGATTAGGATAAGTTTAATGTTGTATGTTTTTTTAAACCACAATTTAGAAAAAGAATGCTACTCGAAGACATCGTTAGATTACGAAGGGGAGGGGAAGGGGACCGGTGGAAGTTGGAATTCTTGGAGGAACAACTAACAAGTCAGCTTTAACTCTGTGTAATATACACCGCAAAACAATTTCAGACTTCCAGAAAAGTTGGAAAGGATGCTAAAAAGAATTCTACTACCCCTGCATGCAGATTCCCCAATGTCAACATTTTATCGTATTTGCTTTGTCTTTATCTACCCATCATCCATCTATCTGACTTACTTTATTCCAGAACCAGTGAAGTCTAGACATAATTCTCCTTTAAATTAGCATTTCATAGCCCTGGCCAGTGTTGCTAAGTGGTGAGAGCATGGGTCTGCACTTCAAAGGGTTGCAGGTTTGATTCCTGGCCAAGAGCAAGTACCTGGGTTGCAGGTTTGATCTCCAGCCCCAGTTGGGACACGTGTGGGAGGCAACCAATCGGTGTGTCTCTCTCACATTGATGTTTCTCTTTCTTTCTCTCTCTTCCTTCCTCTCTCTCTAAAAATCAGTGGAAAAATATCCTCCGCTGAGGATTGAAAGAAAAAAGCTAAAAAAAATCAATGGAAAAATATCCTCAGGTGAGGATTAACAACAAAAATAAATAAATAAAATAATTAGTGTTTCCTAAAAAAGGCATGTTCTCACATAGTACAATGATGAAAATTAGATCAAAATTAGAACAATGCTGACACAGTGCAGGCAGACCTCGTTTTATTGTGCTCTGCGTTATTGCTCTTCGCAAGGGGTTGAGTTTTTTACAAATTGAAAGCAAGACCCTTCACCAGGAAAAATATTACGCTTTATTGAAGTATTGGCTTCATTCCATTGGTCTAGAACACGGCCCCTGGTGGCTCCTATTGTGCATTCATAAACTTTATTTTCAATGTTGCTAATGGTCACAAAGTAATGGTAGCAAAGGAATAAAAAAGGCTTTTATATTTTTCCGGGTCCAGGATCTAATCTGAGATGACACATTTAATTCTTTAGTTATTATGTTTGTTCCTTAGTATCCTTTCACCCAGAGCAGTTCCTTAGCCCTTCTTTGCCTTTCATGACCTTGACATTTTAAAGGCACAGGCCCATGATGTTATAGACTGCCCGTCAGTGTGGTTTGGCTGATGCTCCCTCATGATTAGCCTCGGATGGTGCATTGTGGGCAGGAACATTCCTGGGGTGATGCTGTGTCCCTCTCAGTGCATCGTGTCAAGAGGCACATGGTGTCCAGGTGACCCATTACCTGTAGTGTTCATTTGGATCCCTTGGTGAAGGTGTTGTCGGCCAGGTTTTGTCCTGGTAAAGTTGCATTTTGGTCATAATTAAGAAATAGGTATCGTATAGGGGAGATACTTTGGACTATGTGAATTTCAGTCTGTCTCTAAATGCTGATGTTTTCTCAGACTCCATAGTCAGTCTTCTGCTCTCCCTGAAAGTGTTCATGGCTTCAGTTACTCTCAGCCCTCTGTCTTTGGCCAAGACAACTCCTGGAGACACAGCTCCCTCGCAGGATGTCCCGGAGCCACCTTAACCTCAGCATCGCTCCTTTTCCAGGTCCTTGTCTCCCATTCCTTCACTCCCACGAGCCTGCCCTTCCTCCTCTGTCCCCTGATGACAGTTCGTAGCATCACCTCGCTCCCATCCTTTATCATCCTGGACTCCTGGGTGTCATTCTCGACTCCCCTTGCCCTTCACACCACATGCACAATCAGCCACAAAATCCCATTGACCTTGCGTTCCCAATATTTTCTACGACTCCCTTGGTTCAGGCCATGACCGTTGTATGCTTGGAATCCTGCCATAGTCACCTGTTCCTGCCCAGGACCTGGCCTTCCCTCTAACTCATTCTCCATTGTGATGGCAGAGCGAGCTTTCCACCCGCCTCAGGACACCAACCAACTCCTTCTTCAAGGTCAGGCCCTGTTGACCTCTCCAGCTGCCTGGGTCACGTGGGTGTTTTTAGTTTCCAGTTTGAGTTGCTCTTCCCTTGGGCATGAGATCTGGAATGCCACCCCCTGCTCACACCCATTCACCAGCTCTTGCTGCCATTCAGAATTCAGCTTAGACTCCATATCATGTGCTGTAGAAGACATTCCCTGCACCCCTGGGCATGGCATGCCCTACCCAGCTGCTCCCCAGGACCTTGGACTTGCCCCAACCCTCCTGTGACACTGTTCGCACTTTTGCAATGGATTAGATCTACTTGGACAACTTCCACTGGACTGTGACTCCTCTAGTCCTGGAACCAGGCCTTACCCATTCCTGGTTGGGAAACGTGAATTAGCACATTATCTGGCTCTAGGACACAACAATCTCCATAAACACTTGTGAATGGATTGGTGGGAGTGGGCGTGGTGGGGGGTGAGTGGGAACAGGATGCTGATGTAGCTGCAGGGTTTTGTTGATCTCGGGAAAATGACCGAGCCTCTGTGACTCAGAGACGTGGGCTGTAGGGACAGGGTGGCCAGTTCTCGTGGGCTAGGACATCCAGGAGGAACACTAGGAACAAGATGAAACATTGCCGAGTCCAGAGCCGTAATTAAGGCAGGGTACTCATCAGATGGCCAAGGTGCCCATGACCCAGAAGAACTGGGTTTCCAAGGTGCAAATGACTACAGAGGAACAGGTTTCCAGGCCCAGGTGACTCAGATAGGGTTGGGCTCCGGAACTCGGGAAGGGGAAGTGCCAGGTAAGAAAACAATCAGCATCAGCAAGGCTTCTGCCCCAGTGGCCAGCCAGCCACATGCCGAAACCCTCCATTGACTTAGCAGCCAGGGCAGCCTACAGTTTCCTAGGGAACCAAGAGCCGGTTTGTGGTGCAGCTCAGCATGGAGCCGGGACAGTTTATGAGGGCCAGATGGCCGGCCGCCGGCCGGATGTTGCTAGTGTGGCAGGGTCGGTGGCTGAGGGTCTTGGGGAAAGACTCAGCACAGGGCTGGGAAGGTCTGAGGAAGGCCAGACTCTCACATTGGCCACCAAGGAGACCAGAGATGGGTGTCAGTGTAGATAGGAGAGCACAGGACCAGAGCCCGGTGAGCAGGCGACGCCAGGGGCCATTTGGTTCTGCAAGTCAAAAGGGCAAAGGGAGGCTAGACTTCGGGTGGTGAGCACTCAATACAACATACAGGTGATGTATTAGAGAATTGCACATTTGAAACCTATACCATTTTATGAACCAATGTAATCCCAATAAATTCAATAAAAATATTTTTTATTTTTTTGAAAAAGCGAGCTAAATAGGGACTGGGAGTGACCACATGGTTGGCATCTGGGTCAAAAATATCATTGGTCCCAGGAGAGCAGGAATCTTATCTCGCTTTCTCTGCTGTGTCTGACTGGGAGCAAGGGTCACAGAGGTCAGACTGGGAGCTGGAGTCAGAGGGCGACCTGGAGGACAGGGTCACAGCTGTTTCAGCCTCAGAGAGAGTTCCAGCCAGACACCTGGCCACGACGTCTTTAGTGTATTTCCTACGACTGAAACCTATGTGATGCACGGAGAGTAAAACATAGCAAAGGGTAAACATGCAAACAGTCACGGTACTGGGCTGAGATACTGCCGAAGGCTGGATCCCAGCACCTGGGACACCTAATGCAGGTGGAGAAGGTGAGGCAGCTGGTCGGAATGCCGGTTGCTAAGCAGACCAGGGAGGGGCCATCCGTGGAAGCTGAGGGGCCAGGAACGAATCTCTAGACCCGACTTGTCCCGAGGAGGCAGGAAATGACTGCAACTGAACCAAATCACCAGTCATTTTCTGTCTTATCTTACTCGGTAGATATGTAGAGTCGAGGACTTCGGAGCATGCGTGCCAGCGGTCGGAATTAGGCTGAGTTGTATAACAGGGAAGGAAACCTATTGTCATACACGGTTGCAGATGGGCCTAAAAGGCTCTGTCTGTTGGATTTTCTGCCTGATGCAGCAAGACCTGGGAAGGAGGCACACACATCTGGGCAGTGACTGGAGGGGCTGCCAGCCAGGGAGGCCTGGGCTGCTTATGGTCAGGAACCTGAGCTACATGTGCAGGCAGTGAGGCCCTGCCACCAGCAGCAAGGGCCACTGGACTCAGGCTCCTGGGAGCTCTGGGCACGAAGCCTGTGACATAGTTGGGAGGGGGGGGCAGCTCAGGGCCTACAGGTAGAGAGCAGGGAGACCAGTTAGAGACCTGGGCAGGCCAGGTATAGGCGGGAGGCAAGCATGACAAGGCGCCTGCCCATGGTTCCTCATTTTCTGTAATATCATATGTGGCTCCTCTTAAGGAGTTTCAAGGCTCCCCATTACCACCACCACCATCATCACCATATTCATCAAAGTACTATTTATTGGGTACTTCCCACTTACTCAATTTCCTCACTTAATTCTCATAAAACACTGTAAGGCAGGAATTGTTGTGAGAAAACTGAGGTCTGAGAGGTTAAATGACTTACCAAAGGTCATTGTTACTAGGCCATTTCCTGGTCAGTGGCAGAGCCAGACTGTGAATCGAGGTCTGATGTCAGGTACCCTGGAGGTGAGGAACACAGACTCACTAGTCGTGTGGCTGTGGTCAGCCCTATGACTCAGTTTTCTCATCTGTAAAATGGGCATGGTGGCGATGGTAGAAATACCTCATAAGATACTATTGAGGAGCAAGTGAGGGACTATAAACTCTAACTTCCATACTTGAGGAGTAGGTTTGCCTGACTTAGCAGATAAATATGCAAGATGCTCAGTTCAATTTGAGTTTCTGATAAACAAGGGATACTATTTTAGAACAAAAGGGATTGAAATATTTGGGCCATACTTATACTAAAAATTAAATTCCGAATGAACTGGGCATCCTGTCTGTTGCCTGGCAGCCCGTAGAGGAGGAGCGCTCTCTGCTCCAGTGGGGATGGTTTTCTCTCTGGTCTCCCTGCCTCCACCCTGCCTCTGGTCCTGCATGTTCATGCCCCACCCCCTCGCCTCACCCCTTCTCCTGGCCCCCAGGCCTGTCCTTCCTTCCAGCCTCCTCCTGGGGTTCCTCGCAGCCCTCCCTGCACTCAGAGTCCCTAGCACAGAACATAGCCCTGAATCGTCCGGCCTGTCAGGTGAGTGAACGTGCTAACTGCGCTCCCCGCACCTGTCACACAGGGCTCTGCCTTCCGTGTCCGGAGCGTGCACAGGTTTCAGTATAAACCAGCTGTGTGAGCAGTTGCAGAAATGAAACCAGCTCTGAGGGAGCCACTACTATTCTCTCGCACGGCTGGGTGGTGCTGTCAGAGTGAACCAGAACCTGAGGGGGAGGGGGGGGCCCAGAGGACCCCAGCCAGCCCCGCCCTCCGCAGCGGCAGCCCCGCCCACACCCCCACCCCGACAACACACAGAGGGTGTGGCTTGGGTAGAAGCTGTTGTTTCTTCTCAGCCAAGGAAGTAGCACCCAGCGCCCCACCCTTTAGCTGCCAGGAGGAAATGACAACCAGCCCAGGGACCTAACTTAGAACCGACAGAACAGCAGGCAGGATGCCAACAAAGGGCTCTTACAACTTTGTTATGCTTCATCTCAGGTGGCATCAGGCCTGTGCCAGGGCCTGCCTGGCTTCTTCCCTGTGCCCTGGGCCAGGATGGCCTCCCTGTGTCCTCGGAGGGACACACTGACCCTTGATACCCTGTCCTTGCTGCTCTTGTCCTTCCCTGGCAGCGGCACGTGTCCCAGGCTGTGCCCTGCCCCCACATCGCCTGTGCTGTGGTTCGAAAGCCGCGCTTCTCGCACGAGTGAGCCTGGGCCACAGGGCGGGCTGTGAGAACAGCGTCGCAGGGCCTCACCCCTGCCTTTTCCGATTCTGCAGTTCCGGGCCGGGGCCCTAGAATGGGCATTCCCACCACGTTCCCAGGCGTTGCACTCTGAGCCCCACTGTTTCTGGGTCAGCAGGAGTTGAGGCTCTGAGAGGCACCAATGACCCTCGGTGCTCTAGGAAGAGGGGGGACCCCAAGCCAAGGCGACAGTCCTCTGCAGGCCCATTTATTGTGGCTGGTGTCCTGGTAGCAGGGACCTGACCGGTAGGTATGGTCGTTGCGATCGGTTATCCTGCCTGGAGTTCCATAACAGGCAAGGCCCGGTGGCGGACACTTAGAGAAGGACGAGTCTCCCCACAGGGCAGTGACTGCCATCCAGTGCAGAGGCAAAATGACAAGTACAGGCAATGGCTACTCATTGGTTATGTCATCACACCCCTCAGAAGTGCCTTCTGTGGGTGCTGCTGGGATGGTGGCTGACGGCTCCAAGTTGAGTCTCTTTTCAGGAACTTACCTTCCTTGCTCCAGGTCACCTTCTTTCCCCCGGGGAAGCCCACACCCAGTAACTGGTCAGTGTCAGGGTAGGGCCCCCGTTTTTACTCTGAAGGGCAGTCCCAGCTCCTGAGCTCCCCACAGGGTTGCTGAGGCCTTTGTGGCCTCATCACGGCTCAGCCTCTGGCGCTGCCTGAGCTGCTCCCTTCACGCCCCATCAGCGATTGAACCTGGGATTCCCAGTGAACTTCCTGTGTGCCGGGGTCTGTCTCGGTCTGTTTGCCTGGGGACCGAGACACCTACTCGTCCCTCAGTCTGGAAAGCTGGTACAGGTGAGAAAAGCTTCTAGAAGTCAGAGGAGGGCCCTGGCATCAGGACCTGGTATACACAGGGAGGAGGGCATTGATGGGCTCGACTGCCTGTCCCCACCCTGGCTCGCACTGGCTCCTTGCTCTGTGCCCCCAGTAGCCGGCTCTGAGGTTCATAGCTTGCTGTCTCCTTTGACCTTGACCCCTGCCTGTCTGCTCACCTCCCTTCCACCTGGACTCCTGCTCCCCTCACACCCTTCCTTATACTAACTCATCTCTCAGCTGTGACCTTTTGTCATCCCTATAAAAGCCACTTGAGTAGATGCCATCTTCAAGAAGAGATACAGCCCTGACCGGTTTGGCTCCGTGGCTAGAGCGTCGGCCTGCGATCTGAAAGGTCCCAGGTTCGATTCCATGTACCTTGGTTGCGGGCACATCCCCAGTTGGGGGTGTGCAGAAGGCAGCTGATAGATGTTTCTCTTTCATCGATGTTTCTAACTCTCTATTCCTCTCTGTAAAAAATCAATAAAATATTTTTTTTAAAAAGGAAGAGATACAAAGAATAGAATGTCTGGGGGAGAAATGACACTGAAATTCTATAGTGAATCTTGGTAGGGGTCCCCTGATAATGTGCTCAGAGAGTTTACAAAAAGCAAAGAAGTTCTTTAAAGTTTGATGTGAGGTGCCCAAAGGGCTTCTAGATGTGAGGATGGTTGTCCTTGGTAAGCATGCCTACGGCGTTCAACTTGGGGAACTCCCTGAAGGAGCCAGGCACACAGTGAGGGGCCATGGAGGGGCCAGGCTGAGCCTCTCTGCCAGTCATTTCTAAGTGATACACTGATGACATCAGCTCACTCTGAGACTGAAAATATCCCACCATGTTTCCCCAAGGCCTTTGCAAGTCGTTGGCTCTGGCGACCTCAGAGGCTCCCAAACCCTGCGGAAAAGGAAAAGGTTTGTCTGGAAAGTGCATCTGAAACGAATCGAATGTGCCCCCACCCTGAAAGATTTCCTAACCCTCTCACTAATGGGGAGACTTAGCGTCCTCTCCTTCTGAACGGCACTGTCCCCGAGTCCTCCTCCCAAACGCCAGGCACAGCTCCTGCAGCTCGTTAGTACTTTTACTTCTTTCCGAGTCTCTCTCCCGCCTGTGGATCCTCAAGTTCATAGGCCACGAGTGTTTTTACGTCCCTGAGCACAGTGCCTGCCTCATCGGAAGCAGTTAGTCAATACTGTTGAGTGAACAAACAAATTACATATATTTGTTCCACAAAGAACCTAGCATGGGAAAGGCAGGGCAATTTCTTCTAGCTTGGACAAAACTTGATTCTTCCAAAATCCTTGAAGGTGATAAAAAAAAAAAAAGGTCACATAAGAAAGCAGAGATTTGTGTTAGTGGCAGCACACAAGACAAGCCTGGCAAGAGCACTGGAAAAAAGATGTTCTCTGCGAACCTGGCTGGTTTTATTCTCGGCTCCTCTTCTGGAAACCAGGGCTTCTGTATCTTTCTGACACGGAGGAGCTCACTGAGTGCAGGGAACATAATGACTTTCTTTGTTTTACTCTAAGGCTGACTTTCTGCCCCACTTCTTAGATTTTGTCTGTTCTCATAAGAGGCAAAAACTGACAGCTTGGATTCCTTCAGCATCTTGTAGCACCATTCACAACAAGAATTCGAAACATGTAACCTTAAAGTGAACTGATAGGTTTATAGTTAATGCTTGGGGGAGCTCTGCTCTTAGAGTTATTATATAAAAATTCTACGAGAAAGTTGCACGTAGTACAATTTAATGTTCCCTAACATCAAAGTGATTTCATTCTTTTAAAGGGCACTTACG